TTTAGTGATTATAGCCCAGGGGATTATACAGAGTATAGCAATCCCCCAGTGTAAAGACTATTTCAAGGTTTTCATACTGTCCTTTGATTTTTACATTAAGTAAATAAGACAAAATTAATTTTTAATAGTGGAATTATGAATAAACATTTTGTCATTCTATTTATCATTCTTGGTTTTCATCACAAATCTTTTAATTGGATTTAGGTGTATATATATATATATATATATATATATATATATATATAATATTTATTTCACATGCAAGTATGTATATATATATACATATATACATATATATATATATATATACCTAAATTTAATTAAAAGATTGATTTATATACATATAAGCAGAGGCGTAACTAGAAACCAGGGGCCCCGATGCGAAAATTGCCCTGGCCCCCCCCATATGTCTACCCCCCCGCCACCACCACCCGTACGTCTTCCCTCCCCCTCCTAAACAGATACACATGCAGACATACACATAGACACACACACATATACAGAGATACACACGGACACACACATACAGTCACACATACATACAGATACACACACATGCATACATACACACACACACATACATACATACAAACACACACACACATACAAATACACAGACAAACATACACACACACAAACATACATACATACATACATAAATACACACACACACACACATGTAGACACATACATAATAATAATAATAATAGGAAGAAGAAGAATTTGTGATTTTTATAGCACTTTTCTCCCTGTGAGACTCAAAGCACTTTACAAATATACAAACATAAAGACATAAAAGTTAGGAGTTTCTGTAGGTCAGATGAACGGACTGAATGGCTGATGTAAGAGGTGGGTCTTTAGCTTTTTAAAAAAAAGTCTGTAAGGATGGTGCCTCTCTGATTGTGCACGGTAAAGAGTTTCAGAAGGTAGGAGCAGCGTGGCTGAATGTCCTGGAACCCGAGTCTGTCTTTATTCTTGGCACTGACAGGAGGGATTTGATGGCTGACCAAAGTGAACGGGATGGAATGTAGGGTGCAAGGAGCTCTTTCAGGTACAGTGGGCCTTGATTGTTTAAGGCTATGAAGGTTAGCAGGCCAATTTTAAAATATGTTCACCATTTAATTGGAAGTCAATGCAGGGAGTGGAGAACAGGTGTTATGTGACAGGAGCAAGTTTGATTGGTCAGTAGTCTGGCTGCTGCATTTTGTACTGTCTGAAGGCGATGGAGTTCTTTTTCTAGGAGGCCCAAGTAAAATACGTTGCAGTAATCTAGCCAAGAGGATACAAATGCATGGATTAATGTTGGCATATCATCCGGTGGAATTAAGTGTTGTATGCTGGCTATGTTTTTCAGATGATAGTAGGCAGTTTTTATTATGGAGGAAATCTGCTGTTTAAATGATAGTCCAGAGTTAATCAGCACTCCGAGGTTCTGTAGCTTTGATGAACTAATGAGTTCAGAGCCTACAAGCTCCAGGCCATTTGGGTGATGATGGGATATTTTTGTTGCCCAGGGTCCCCTCACCAAGAGTAACTCTGTTTTGACCGGGTTCACTTTAAGCCAACTAGCATTCATTCATTCTATGAGGTCTGCTAAGCAACTGTTGATGCAGCATGTTGGGTCTGTGGTATCTGTGTGTCATCATCGTAACAATGATACCTTAGGCCATGTCGCATAATGATGTCCCCCAGTGGTAGCAAGTAAATTGTTAATAGCATGGGAGACAAGATGGATCCTTGTGGAACTCCGCAGGCCAGTTCTATTGGTGCCGATGAGCTTGATCCTGATGTTACTTTCTGTGATCTACCAGTGAGGAAATACTTAAACCATTTAAGGACTGTGCCTCCTAGACCACAGATGTGCTGCAAGTGCTCTATTAAAATCCTGTGGTCAATGGTGTCAAATGCAGCTGAGAGATCCAAGAGGATTAGGATGGAGTAATCACCTTTGTCCCTCGCCATAAGGAGATCATTTAGCACTCGGACTAGCGCTGTTTCAGTGTTGTGGCAGCATCTGAAACCTGACTGGAAAGGATCAAAGATATTCAAGCTTGATAGATGGGCCTCCAGTTGAGATGCCACCACTTTTTCATTTATTGTTCCCAGAAATGGAAGGTTGGATACTGGTCTGTTATTAGCCATGCAGTCTGGGTCTAATAAAGGTTCCTTTAGGAGTGGTTTTACCACAGCTTATTTTAGAGGATCTGGGAAGTCTCCAGTTTTTAGTGAACACTGCACTATTTTTGTGAGGGCTGGGGCAAGTGTTTCAATGCATGCAGATATAAGCTGAGTTGGTGCAGGGTCCAAGTCACAAGTAGTAAGGTGTAACTTTTGCATGGTTCTTTGAACTCCCTTTATATCCATATTTGTAAAAGTGGACTACAAACTGGGGTAATCTGACATTCCATTGTAGTGGTTCTGGTGTGTAACTGTTTGGCCTGCTGTGATAGAGGCTCGTATTGAGGAAATCTTTTCTCTAAAGAAGATTGCAAATGCTTCACACTTATCCTGAGAAAAGTTGGTAGGGATATGCATGCATGCAAAAACCTTTCTACTGCTGTGGGAGAGTGCAATTTCATGTGACAAAAAATATTTTTTCGGAGTTATCTTGAATTGATATTCATTTAGATGTTTGGTAAGACTGGCTTTATCTTCTGGATCATGTGTCCTGCACAACTTTCTCTCGCATTTACGGCCTGTTCTCTTCATTTCTCTGATGGTGCTATCAAACCACGGTGCATTGTTGTGGGTTTTGACAGTGTGTATGCGTTCTGGTGCAATGCTTTCTAGGGTGTCTCTCATGGTTTTGTTGTAGAGTCGGACTAAGGATACATACAGACACACAGACAGATAGACATACCCACAAACATACATACAACACACATACACATACACATACATACAAATACACACACATACACACACAGAGACACACAGACAGAGAGATACACATACAGACACACATATACAGAAACATTCATACAGACACACATACACAAACACACACACACATACATACAAACACACACATATGCAGACACATACAAACCGATACACATACAAAATGTTTTAGTCACCCTCCTGTTTCCTACCTTTTCCTACCTTTTAGGTACAGGAGGGTGACTTTCTTTGGGGTCCAGTTCCCACTCTGACTCCTTCCTCTCCTTCCTCCGCCCAAGCAACTCCCAGTGGTTGCTGTCACTTCCTCCCAGCGTTTGACATCATCTCAATGTAATAGTTTTATTTAAAAACACCTCACCTAGGCAAAAAATAATGGGGGTTTAGTTACATTATATGATCATATTTTGCATAAGCCTGACAATGTACCCCATTCTTGACAGGTCCTACTCTAGCAGCATAAAGCCTGCCAGGAATGGGGTACAATGATTTCAAATCTCACAGATTGTAATAGTTTTATTTAAAAACACCTCACCTAGGCAAAAAATTATGAGGAGCATGTATTAGGCTGCTGGAGTAGGACCTGCCAAGAATCGGTTACATTGACATTAATTCAAGATATATATACACACTGTGTGTGTGTATATATATATTTGTGTTCGGGGCAAATAGCCGTATATGGAGTAAGGTTCCAGCATAAGCGTAGGATAGTATAAAGGGAGCAAGTCGGTTGTGGTGTGCCGAGACCGACGATACGGTAGGCCTGTAAATAAAGAGGGCCCACCAAGGAGTAAGTAAAGTAAATGGAAAGAAAATAGAAAGTGTTGAAATGAGGAGTGGGTGGGAGGGTCATTCTGATGCTGACCTCAAGCGATATGAGTCAGGTAAGGGGTGTCCCTTATATAGGGGAGTGAATTAATTTAAGCCCCTTCCACAAATACAGGCCAAATGGCCTTAAAACTTGTGTTCGGGGCAAATAGCCGTATATGGAGTAAGGTTCCAGCATAAGCGTAGGATAGTATAAAGGGAGCAAGTCGGTTGTGGTGTGCCGAGATCGACGATACGGTAGGCCTGTAAATAAAGAGGGCAAAAAGAATAATCAAAGATTTAATACAGTCAACAATATATACAAATTAACCAGACATTTCCTTAAATGCATTACTGTATTTAATTCCTGGAAGGATTTTTTGAAGGTAGGAATCTAGGACCGCAACTGGACACCATTTGTTGTGGGTAGGATAGTATGTTATCTCTACTGTTGGTGCGTGTTGACTCGTTTCGGAATGTGGTAGAGCCAATAGGTAATGATATGTGTGTTTACATACGTGGGATCGTTGAAGACAATGATCTGTCTGAGTGGTGGTTATGGTAGTGGATTCTCTGGCCTGAGAAAGGCATAAAAGGCAGTGTGCATGGTGGTAATGGCCAACTTGGTAGTATAATTGAATGGTTGTAGCTCTAATAGGTCCGATAAGGATGGAAAAGTTGGATGGCTATTGGTAATATCTGAGAGGAACGTGGGGGATGGATTCCTGAAAACCTCTGAGTATATTCTTGTCTGGTATGATACCATGAAGTTATGGTAGTTTTGGCCATAGGTTATCCTGTGTTGTTGAATGCCTGTAAAATATATCATTAATGGTGTGTGAGATGGTTTTAGTTTAAGGTGGCAAAAAATGAAGCAAAACCTAGGAGAAATGTTATGACACAGGTTGAGCTATGTCGTGTTCCAATGAGATTCTTTAAAGCCAGGTGAATAGGTGTTATGCGTTCTACAAGTATGGGATGAAAGAGTTAGGTGGGATAGTGCATGCTATGCTGCATGAGTATGTCTAATCCATGATTTTGTCTCTGGAACGAAAGAGTGGCCGTGACTGTATGGGCGGCTGTAGGAAGCGTATGATGAACGTGCCTGGAATATGAGACAATTGTCAGCAAGGATGTATACCCCCGCCTGGTACATGAAAGTAAAAAAAAATGTGGTAAGTGGCCAACCAAGTGAGTTCCCCAGCAATACCATGATCGTATGGATGATGAGTGGCATTTGTTAATGATATGACATGTGCTTAGTTGTCTGAGTAACAACGGATTGATGACCCTGACCATGATTTACCCCATGCCACAGCAGCTGCTTTTAGTGGGGATAGGATTGCCCATTTTATGCCATGTAAGTGCCAGTTTGTAGGGTAGATGGTAGCCGTTTACTGTGTTGATGATATTGGTCTTACTTAACGAAGCTTCAACCCATGCTTGAGTGATAGCTGTAAAGGTAGATCAATGGTGTATATAGTAAGGAAACTCCTCAGAGGGTATGAGGGAGTTGAGACTTGGGGTAGCGAAGGTGTGTGGTGCCAATAAGTCTATGGTTAGTCTTTGTTTAAGGGAAGATTCCCTTGTGACAATACCAATGTGTTTGTGTTTGGTGCCATGCTGTAAATGGTGGAGATTGGAAAACCCAAGTAAAAATCCCTCTGCAAATCTTGGCTATGAGTGTGTTTACAGCCGACGGTTCTGTTGTGCTGACTGTAAGTGAGGGCATACTATATTCCTTGAGGGTTTATTTATGATACCTGTATGGGAGCCCTTTGAAGCTCCAGAGCCTTAGTAAATCTACTACAAGTCTGGAAGGGTGATGAGTCAGTAGAGTTGAAAATGCATTGGTGTGTACAGATGGTGAGTACGTTATTTGTAAGTTGTATTGGGACACATGGTTTGTCATGTGCCCTGAATGTTTTGAACATATATGCAACAGTCTATATGCAAGGCAACTACTAATACCAATTGTCTCTGGTAGTTCAGAGGTGCTGGTACCTGGAGCCTGAGAGTGCTCACCCGTTTGTTTGGGAGAAAATCCCTTCTGGATGGGTACCTGCACAAATAAGCATCTCTACATATTCCAAATGCCAACACAACCAAGGGATGGTCAGTTCCCGATTTACCTAGAATCCCTGGGTCTGACCATCATAGATACATCATCATACATATATATGCCTTGTTTCCCCAATGTGCCGGGATCATATGTGCAACGTTAACGTCTTGAACCAAGTAACTGAGTTTCGGTTGGTGCTGGTTGTACAGTGAGGCCCAGCCTTGTGAGGGCTGTGACTGACTCGAGATTGCCAGTCTGTCGTAAATTTTTTGGCTCATGAGTTTATGAGTGAGGCTAGCATGGCCTGGGTGTCACCTGAGTTGGTGTTGCTGGGCCTCCGTTGATGTATGGAGGAGTTTGAATAACTCTGCTTTCCTTGCTGTGGCAGGGTAGGGGATTTGTCGACTCCTTAGGTCGGAGCCACATCTCCTCTGCTTGAAGGTGTATCACTTCTAGCCGGGGTGCCAGGAAGAGATGATTCTTCACCATCTTTTTGAGAAATACTTAAATAACAATAAAGATTGCAATTATTATTTGTACCCAGGGGTCTTGTACTGGCTTGCTAGCTAAGCCATAAGGTGAAACGATTAGGCTTGGTGTTTTTTGGTGACTGGTGAGGCCCTGCTAGTTGCCAAGTGGCTTGAGAGGCTCTATCTATGCTTGGCGCGAGGGGATTTTTTGTGGCCACCGAACGTTGTGGCAGGATGTTGGCCTCTCGGTGACAGTAACCAGAAAATAGGAAGGGGAGTGACAGGTGAGGCCCTCTCTATGATACAATGCAAGGCGGCTAGCTCACGAGTGGCCCGAGGGGTGTATGCCTCCGAGTGTGAGGCGGGGTGTTGGCCTCGCGGGACCACTAACCAAAGCGTAAAGCAGAGAAAACAGGAGGTAATACCTATTGGGCCATAGAACCCTAATTGCCAGTACATTACTACTATTCCAGGGAAGGTAAGAGATGAAGGTGTATCACTTCTAGCCGGGGTGCTAGGAAGAGGTGATTCTTACCATCTTTTGAGAAATACTTAAATAACAATAAAGATTGCAATTATATATTTGTACCCAGGGGTCTTGTACCGGCTTGCTAGCTAAGCCGTAAGGCGAAACGATTAGGCTTGGTGTTTTTGGTGACTGGTGAGGCCCTGCTAGTTGCCAAGTGGCTTGAGAGGCTCTATCTATGCTTGGCGCGAGGGGATTTTGTGTGGCCACCAAACATTGTGGCAGGATGTTGGCCTCTCGGTGACAGTAACCAGAAAATAGGAAGGGGAGTGACAGGTGAGGCCCTCTCTATGATACAATGCGAGGCGGCTAGCTCACGAGTGGCCCGAGGGGTGTATGCCTCCGAGTGTGAGGCGGGGTGTTGGCCTCGCGGGACCACTAACCGAAGCATAATGCAGAGAAAAAAAGGGGGTAATACCTATTGGGCCCTAGAACCCTAATTGCCAGTACACTATTACTATTCCAGGGAAGGTAAGAGATGGATAACTACGTGAGCAGGTGTATGTACCTGGTAGTATGGTATTGAACCTGACAATCCGTATAGGTTTTTTAGTAGTAACTGTAACCTGAATGGATAAAATCGTATGGCATAAGGAAATATGGCATAGACCAAGCTTATCTTAAAACATACAGTATATGTGAAAGTAAAGTGCCGTGATATGTAAATATTAAACATCATATCCATACTGGTTAAATATGTATCAATCTTAACCCATTAAGTGCCGTATGTATGTGAACCATATTACCAGTTACGTATATACAGATGCGTGTGCTACTGTGTAATAATATATGTATTTATAACAGATATTGATATACTGCTTGCTATGTGAATTGTTGTATGCCTTATTGAATGGCAAGTGAACATGGAGTTGCAAAATGCAAGTGAACATGGAGATCTGCCGAGTGCCCTATAGGTGGCAGTGTAGTTGATACTGATTTGTATGTGAAATGTTGTTTGTCTGTTGACCTATAGGGGTCAGTGTTTTGGTGTTTGTAAAACCCCATGAAAATTGTCAATGTTCTTGACAGACCTGTAGGTGGCAGTGTTGATAGAACCACTGTTAGTCTTGATGTGAAATGTAAATTATTGTGAATTAAACCTGAAGTTGAGCCTGTGTTGGAGTTTAATTCATGGTTTATGGTTATGTTTAAAACAATCTTATGTGTAATTTATATTGGCTGGTAATTGTATATGACATGTGAAGACAGTTTTGCTGTTGACCAGTAGGGGTCAGAAATGCTGATTGTATGGTAAAATACCCTTTAACCCCTGAAGGATACATGACATATCATGATTCCCTTTTATACCAGAGTTTGGTCCTTAAAAGGTTAATCCAAATGCAAGGTTAATGTGAGATTTTGAGAGTGACCTCTAGGGGTCAGTGTGGCTTATGTGAAACATTGTTTGTGAGCTATGCCCCAGCGTTATAGTTGTGTGACAGGGAAACAAACAGTGCCCGTTTGACAATATACAATAAGTGAACATAATAGCTTAATAACAGTCATTGTAACAAACCAAAGTTCTGTTCATGGTTGTAAACGCACGAAGCGTGTGTGTAGTACAACAGTAAATGTATGAACTAGTACCCGTTTGGTAGAAAATTGCACGAACCGTGAGCCTGGTATGTCAGGGAAACAAAACGAAACGAGCAGTGAGATTCGAAATGCACGCACAGAATTGCCTAGTATGTTTAGGCAATTGAAACAGAATGTGTTCCCGTTTGGGAGTATGCTAATGCTCGAAATGAGCCAGTGACAGATATAAACAAGTGAATTTAAACGAATGATATGCATGAACATGCAATGGTTTTAGGACAGATTTAGACAAAATGCAGCCGTAAAGTGAGGACCTGACCCATGCATGGTGCCGTGGGACTGATGCCTGGCGTAACGGGTAGGTCGACTTACGGTTTGTGAGTCACTTGGACACCATCCACAGCGATAGATTGAAGAAAGAAGGTGGTAGGCCGGAAAAGCCTGTGGCTGAATTCCTGACACAGCTCAGCTTAGAAAACCTCATGGAGTAATCAGGTAAAATGGCGTCTGGATGACCCGGAAGTGGAAATCATTCTGATGCTGACCTCAAGCGATATGAGTCAGGTAAGGGGTGTCCCTTATATAGGGGAGTGAATTAATTTAAGCCCCTCCCACAAATACAGGCCAAATGGCCTTAAAACATATATATTCAGCATTACGTTTATCAGAAATCAATATTTTTCTCAATAATCTGCTCCTTTATCCCATCATTTCTATACATATTTGCTAATATAATATTAAGGGACCTGAAGTCTGGGCATCAAATCTTCAAAGAAATAAAAGTAAATTCATCTTCACCCATTGAGGCCTGAGCATTGTGATTGGTTTGCTTGGAAGTTAAGTAATCACTGTGTTCTGATGGGTACCTCTTGCCTCTTGCAAGACATATCCATCATATACATATATATTGAGTGACTATGAGTAGAAGGGGCTGAGAGATATCCATAATTTAGATACATAGGTCCAAGAGACTGGTCATATATAATGTAAATGGACCAGGATATTGGGCATCTTAAGACCTGTAATAAAAATGATCCTCTCTACTACCACAATTTATGACGTGGAGAGAGAGGAGAAGCCACTAGACTGACCCCATGCGTCTTATTTTTTTTCACACTTTTTTATATAATGGAGGGAGCTGACTCCCTCCATTATATATGCATGCATGTTTGCATGCATATTACATACTGAGCATGTAAAGCACATGGTCAGCATTTATTACTATTTTACTTTCCCTTTCAGTACCACCTGTGAAAGCAGTATATTGTGTTGGACTCAGTCGCAGAACTGAATGGGTTTATTTTACTGTCAGTTATCACCTGGTGAGACTTGAATCCTGGTCTTACTAGACGTAGCATTTACACCAGTAAAAGGGATTTTTGTTTGAGTCCTTAAGGTTGACAGTGAATAGTAAAAAAAATTGTGGTTTCTATGGGTTAGAACTGAAATAACGTTTTACTAACTGATGTCACAACAGAGTAATGGCAGTACATGAAAATGTATTTTGGCTGAACTTAACATAACTGCTTCAATATCAGTTTTTAACCCTACACTGCTTAGTTAATCTAGGTGTATGAGGTTAAGAGGCATAAAAAATAAAATAAATGATAGCAATCAATACCTATTTATCATGTAACTGCATGCCTCAATCTGAGCCCACTGTTAGTTATTGTTGTAAACTCTGCCCTTTGAAACTGCCAATCAGCATAAAGAAATTATACAAAGAAGAGGAGAAATGAAACACTATTTCCTTTTTTTTTTACAATCTTTATTCTATTGTTGATAAGTGTACATCGAATAGTAACAAATAGTAAAGAAATAGAAAAAGCAATGAAATAAACGTATATGATTGCGGCTCCATCTTGAGTGATCAGGACATTCTGTAATCATTATTGGCTGAACCTTGGTCATT